TATTATCTTTATTTGTACTCCGCTAGCATCTCCCGAAGGACTCGATGCAGCTTACAAAGGCCAAGGCCTCAAAACACAACATAACAACACACAACCTAAAGCAAATTCAAAACAGTTAAAGCAATATTAAACAACAAGCAATAAACAATACACCAAGACACAATGAAACTGGGCCGGGCCAGAGTAATGGGTACAGATAAAAAGTGCTGATATGACAGATGATATGTAGGATTATAGGGTAAGTGCACACTAGAAGGGTTTGGTGGGCATTGACCTTGAGTTTGGGAGTTGTAGTTCACCTACATCCAGAGAGCAGTGTAGACTCAAACAATGATGGATCTGGACCAAACTCTACACGAATACTCAATATGCCCAAATGTGAACACTGGTGGAGTTTGGGGAAAATAGAGCTTGACATTTGGGAGTTGTAGTTGCTGGGATTTATAGTTCACCTACAATCAAAGAGCAATCTGAACCCCACGAACGATAGAATTGGGCCAAACTTCCCACACAGAACCCCCATGACCAACAGAAAATTTTCTGGTGGTCTTTGCTGACCCCTCTGACACCCCCTCACGACCCCTCCAGGGGTCCCAACACCCAGATTGAGAAACACTGACCTAGCGCATCTTTGAGAGCAAAAATTAATATTTATTTATTACTAGCCGTCCCCTGCCACGCGTTGCTGTGACCCAGTCTGTGTATATGGGTTTGTGTGTGTATATATTTGTGTATATGTGTATATGTGTGTGTTTGTGTATATATATGTAGTTTTGTGCATGCTATTTTTTTTGCTTTTAAAGTCTCTTCCGCTGTGTTTTCCAGTATTTTTAGTGACTAGCTGTCCCCTGCCACACGTTGCTGTGGCCCAGTCTGTGTATATGTTTTTTTGTGTTTGTATATATGTGTATATGTGTGTGTATATATTTGTGTATATGTGTATATATGGGTGTTTGTGTGTGTGGGTGTGTATACACACACACACACACACAAATATATATATATATATATATATATATATATATATATATATGTATGTATATATGTGTGTGTGTGTGTGGAGTTCAAAATGTTCTTTGATTGTCAGTTAACTATAAATCCCAGCAACTACAACTCCCAAATTTTTAAAAAATAAATTATTATTATTATTATTATTACTTAGGGCTAATTTATTTTTCTTATTATTATTATTAAATTATTATTATTGAGTGGCCAGAAAAAAACATCAACATATCTTTCCAAGGAGAATCCATGAAAGAAAGGGATTGCTCCCAAAGACATCCAAAACAGACAGAAATGTAATATATATCCCAAAAATGTGGTGAATGAGGGAATGAGGAGGAGGCAATACCACCTTGGCAGCGATCATGTAAGGCGGGACGATCTCGATGTTCATCTCTTGGAAGAGTTCGCGGCATTGCATGGAGATGAAGTCTCCGGCCAGAGGGGATTTCACGATGCCTGGAAGGAAAGAAAGAAAGAAAGAAATGGTTGGACTGGATGACCTTTGGGGGCCCCTTCTATGATTATATGGAGAGCATCTCATTTCAAAGGCTGGAGGTCAAATATATGTGGTGGTAGAACATTTGAATCCAGAACACTTCCTTTGCTATGGGAAAACTGTACCAATTCCTTGCATGAAGGAAAGGGTTGGACTAGATGACCTCTGGGGGGTCCCTTCTAAGCATCGGATTCCATGCAGAGGTCTAACACAGGCATGGAGAAGGAAAGAGGCATCCAATGGAGGGACTTCTCATTTCA